TCTTGTATTTCTTCTTTTTCTTCAATAGTACTAATAGAATTATTGCTGTTCTTATTTAGTAATTATTCTATCATATTAAGTGAATTGTGTTGAGGTTGTTCCATTCTTTATAAACAAGTATTTTTAAAATAAAAGATGGTGATGAATTTATTTTGATTTATCTATTCAATAAAAAAATAAAATAAGTAATTTTTATTTAAGAAAAGAAAACCAGAAAATTAAAATAATGAAAAAACAAAACATAAAAAAATTTAACAAAAATAAAATTGTTTTTCATTCAAGATTGTTATTTATCACTTTTTCTTATTTAATTCTGAACCATCATTGTATCTTCTTCTCTTAAATATTCTCCTAAATCTCCTTGATTATAACAGACAATCCCTGTTGCACTTAATCGAGAATATTCAACTGAAGAACATGCTGTTGTTCCAAAGCCAATTGCAATATCATTTTCATTAAACATAACACATCCTATGTTTCTTGCCATGTTGTCTGTTATTTTACTTATTCCGTTTTTGACTAAATGATTTCCATATAAAAATGATGTTTCTGCTTCTGGTTTTACCCATATTTTACATGAACAATATTGTGCTAAATATGGTAATGCAGTTATGTGAAGTTTAAATTTCCCTGTTTTAGTGAATTTCCCAAAACATGTGCCAAGTGATAATAAATTCTCTCTTCCAATTGTGGTAGCTTGTTCTGCAATACTAAGTCTCACATAATAAACTCTATCCTTTTGTAATCTAAAACAATACTCTTCATTTTCGTTGTCTATTAAAAATCGAATGTTTCTGCCAATGTACTTCGCTAGTTTCTCAAAAAATGATTTTGTTTCTTCATCAGTTAAAGGTCTCATTCCTCACTTCTCTCTTTTGCTTTTCAGTTGTTTTTATTTCTGTTGTTTTTTTAAAGGGTTTTTTCTTCCATTTCTTCCTTCTATTTCTTGTTTTTTCTTTTTTTGTAATTTATCCCACAATTTTCTTTCTTGTCTTTCTTTTCATCTCATTTCTTGTGATATATCCGATGATGAACATTCTAACTCTCATCTGTTTGCATTAAACTCTACACCACTAACACTCTTTATTGAACAAATTCAAATACTCACTTCTCAATTTGAAGTAAATCTAATTGTAGATATTCTATTAATTGACTTTTTCACACAAAATTAAAATAAATTTAATGTTTTTTGAAATTCTTCATAAAATGAACCAAAAAATTACATAAAAAATATGAATAGATTCAAAATTAGTGGCACATGTCTTGAACAAATCCATATTCTTTAAATCCCATGTCTGATAAATGATCTGGTTGCAAATATTCTTCATTATTTTCATATCTATTCATATCAACGCATGACTCAGATTCATTATTTTGTGTAATAACTCCATTTTTACTTAAACATTCAAACTGAGAAAGCATTTCCCTAAAATTAGCAGGAAGTGCTACACTTATTTTAACTGATAACAAACTACAATTAGCCACTGTACTTTGATACTCAAATAAAGGAGAACCTATATCGTTATATAATAGGTTATCTTCCATTGAGCTACTAATGTTAGTAGGAGATTGTGGTTGTTGAATTTCAACATCTTCATTTAATTGTTGAGATGATGAACTAACTTGGTTATCAAGACATTTGAATTTACTTTCATCAATAGCTTGATCCAAGAATTTTTCTTTTGAAAGCAAAAGAATGTTTCCATATGGTTTTTCATTTAAACAATCTTTGTCTCCAATAAAAACACTTTCATACTTTGTTTGAGAGTCTTTTTCTTTTTTTGTTTGAGAATCTTTTTCTTTTTCAGAACTTTTTTCTTTTTTGAGATATTGACACAAAAAGTCATATACTTGAATTCCTGTTGTATTTAATACTTCTATTTTATTAAATATACCAATACATTTCCCATCTTTCTTTACTAATGGAAGTTTTGTATATTGTTGACTACTAATTGTATTTTTTGATACTTTTGTGTGTGCCAAACTATTATCACTCCCAAGTTCATTGTATTTAAGATAACATTCATTAATGATTTTCATAACAACAAGTTCATTGTAAACCAATTTCTTCTTATCTGGGTTTTCACTTGTCTCAGTTACCTCTTTCTTTATTGGAATTCCTTCAGTATCAAATTTTAATTTGGCTTCTTTCCCTTCTTGAACTACTTCATACTCAAACTCTTTATCCAATATTATTACCTTATTTTCGTTCCATATCTTTTGAATAGGGAAGAAGTGGTGTAACTTTTCCGCTCTTCTTTGTTCTTTTGAAATAAGAAATGACCATCCTTTTGTTACTAAGTAGTAACACCCAGCTAATATATACATTCTTCTTGTATTTGTTGACTTCATTTTAGTTTCAGCGGGTGATATTTCCTTTGGAGTTGTTGTAACTTTATCTATTCTTTTTGCCATATCTTTAATGAAAATGTAGTTATCATCTAGGTTAAATAAATAACTGTAACTAAAAATAAAATAAAATTTCTAATGATTTTTAGATTTTAAATAGTTATTCCTCAAATAATGATTTTTTCTTTGAATTTTTTAATTACGCTTTCATAATTAAATAAGAAGTTTATTTTATTATTTATATTCTTTTTAAACTATGAATTAATTAATTTAATTTATACTTAAAAATTCAAAAATTATTTTTATAATTATTTTTTTTTCTTTTGTGGAATAAATTCAACTCTGCCAATTTTATAAATAGTGAAAAACATAACTCTTTGACATAATTTTATTTCTTTTATACTTATTTACTTTCTAACTTTAATATAAATCAAAAAATAAAAACCTGAAGGAGGAAGAATTTACTTTGGTTGATTAATTTTTATATTATATTGTGTTATGACATTTCATATTTAACATCATTTATTTTATTTAATTGAGAAGCACATTCTCTTAAAAGTTAAGTAGAGAATTATTTGGTTTTATATATCAGAATGATAAAGATGTATAAGAAAAGAGTATTATAGTTTGTATAGGTTTATTATTTTTTTGAAATTCTGATGTTATTTATTTGTATTGTAAAAAATGAAATATCGAAGGTGGCATGTCTGAAACACTACACACAAACATTAATATAATTAAAACTTCAATTTTAATGGTAATTATCTGGTTATGATGGTGTATTTGAATTAGGAATGTATTAGGGAATACTGCAAAGGGTGGAGCAAGATATTATGATAGAATATTACATGGTGTAATATAAGAATCTACTAAAGTGTGGGTATGACTAAAAGAAAATTAAACATAATAATATAATGGGAATGAAATACTCTCTTCTCTCATTCATAAAATAAAGAAAAAAAGGAAAAAGAAAATGTTTAAAATTAAGACAGAAAATAAACAAAAGGTTAAAAAGAAGAAATAAGCAGAAGAAGGATGAGAAGACATTAATAGGAAAAAATAAAACAAAGAAGTGATTTTCTCAATTTGCAAGAAAAAACATAAATGATAAGTTAAACAAAAAGATTACTTTTTTTTAAAACAGCTCAGGGATTAATCTCGGCTAAACTAGGAAGAATATATGAAAAATCTATTAACACTTAATTAACTAATTTTTATTTTTATGTATTTAAAAAAATGAAAAAATTAGAACGAATTAATTATTATAGTCTTCAAGTGAAGGTTGTATAAAACAATTTTTTATAATACACATTCTCAACCATTTCAAAGAAATGGTGTTTTGTGAAATACCAATGGTCAAATCTGAAATACTACTATAATTTACGTTGTGTCCCTCACACGCTTTGGCAATTTTTTTTAGAATAACAGAATCTTTATTTGGTTGAACACACACTAACTTATCCTTTAAAAAATTACGTTTTACGCCAAATTTAGTTGGCTCTTTTTCAAATTTCTTTATTTCAAATCCTTTAATACTTTTAATAACTCCTGCTTTTCTTGAGACATAAACCCATCTGGGAACTACAAACACTAACCACTCTGCTAATGCTAAGAACGATATAAGTGGGAGAGGTTTAAGTTATTTAAAATAATAAATTAAATAAAAGCAATTCATCACATATTAAAATTATTTTATTTCATCACTCTTTTCTGTTATTATTATACATTTTATTACTACTCTTTACTTCTTTTAGTATTTCTTATTATAAAAGTTTATTATAAATAATATTTTCAATTATTAGTTGGTGTTGTACAGTAAAAAGAGTTAGTCATAAACATCCTTTAAAACATACATATCTTATTTAAGTAACAAAAGACGTTAGTTTATATCATTTAATAAATAATAATTATTTAAAACATTTATCTCTAATTGATGTAACTTCTATTGGTATTGTATTTCCATATTTCTTTATATCTTCTTTTCTATATGTTCTATGTTTTTACATTAACTCTATTCTTCTTTCTCTTTTAAATATATTGAATAGTCTATTTTATACCATATTGTTTGTTTAAATATTCTTCTATCTTCAAATATTTCATATTCTTCATTATAAATATGAAATGTTTCAATATTATTACATAGTCTTCTTGAACAAAAAAACTACTTGAAATTAACTAAACTGAAATTATTCCATATTCAATTGAAATTTTTTAATTCCATTTTCTACATTAATAAAATCATTTAGTATTACTACTTCTTTCTTTATTATTGTTTATTTCGTAGTTTCCTTCCATATCTTTTATTCAAATTTTTCTTTGTATTTTGACGACGTTTTAAATTCAACCATAAAAGCTATAACAACTAACCTCTTTTTTATCTTTCTTTTTAAAGAAGTAGATTTTATAAGATATACTTCCAACATAGTAATTAATTAAATGAATGGTGCAAAAAAAGGTATAATAGAAAAAAAAAATAAGAGGTATGTCTCATTGAGTTATAAAAACGAATATAATGATTTATACATGACAATTAATGATAACAAAATAGCCTCATCATTAATTTTTCATACACCTAACTAATTGATAGAATTTGTTTTTATATAAAACAAAACCAAACAAAAACAAATTTTACTATGAATTACTTCTATTATATCTTGAGAATCGTATTACATTAAACTTTATTTCTATTTAAGTATTGTACAACGACAATGTTATTTTTAGTATTTTTTTAATTCATTTTATAATATACAAATTATTCTTATCAATTATCAATGTTTGTCTCAATTAAAATATTATCCTTCTTCTTTTTCCGTTTATTTCATATTTTCTTAATGATATTATATATTAGTTTAGTATAAAAAGGTATTTTATTTTATTAAGTTTTCTGAAAGTACTGAAGAATTTTACAAAAAATAAA